TTTCAGAAGGATGAATAATCATCATCCTTCGATATAGAGCCTGAGCCCTTTTCAACTTCTGGAAGTGTTTGGCAACTAGACAAATGGCTTAAAAATAGCTAAAATCTGTTTAAAAAAGCCAAAACCAACAAGTTGGGTAAACCCAACTTTTTTTTAAATTGGCTTAAAAACCATATTGCTTTGACCAGGAATATTACATTCTTTTCCCTTATAATTTTTCTTAATCACGAAATTACCCCTCAGTACAAAACTAACGCAACTATTTGAAAAGCTAAGCTTATGACATCTAGATGCAGGTAGAGAGTATGAAGTGCTGCTAAAATTATTGCATTCTATTTATACCTTTCAACTATTTTGGACCTGATTTATACAATTAGCATGATAAGATGGAAAAGGATGCTACTTGAAAGTTGGTATTGAATAATTATTTTCTGTTGAATCCTTCCCCGGTCCCCGCACATAGCGGGAGCTTAGCGCACCGGGCTGAGATAGCCACATACAATCCACTTTGTCACTCACTAGTTACAAAGACTTCAACTTATGACTAACTCTAGTCACAACACAAACTCAACAAGTTTATTGTTTTACAAAAGGGTTCCTACAATGCTTCTAACTAAGCTAAGTAGGAGTTACAAATGAAGAACATATAACAAAGACTCAACAAACCTAAGGACTTAAGATATCTTCAATCTTTGGATCTGGTCTTTGAGGTTGTAGCAGCTTTGTTCTTGCGAGAGGTTGTGGTTAGAACTTGAGAGAATATTTTCTTTTGATTTTGCAAGTGTTAGAGAGATGAAATCCCTTGCCTCATATTGATAATATATGTGTGTGATGTCATCAAGGATGATGCAATAAAGTGTCTTTTAGTTTGGCCTTAGCAAGCTACAGCTGTGCTGCTGTATTGCTGCTAGACGGTACAGTGCAGCAGTCTGCCAGACGGTACAGTGCAGTAGCTTTTACAGCTGTAGAGTCTACTGTACAATGACGAGGGAAACTGATCCTATCTGGTTCCTCTACTCTTTCCTTATCTGATTTCATTGGGAATTGAACCAGACATTTGGCTAGTTATTTTGAATGTAAGGGAACTTAATTGTATCAGATTCCTTAACTTGTTCTCTCATGAAGTAAGTTGTTTTACCTTCCTTGATTGTATTTATACATGTGTGACATCACTTACAATGATGTAAGCAAGGTAGGTAAAAAGCCTTTCACAGAAAGTTGACTGCTGCATTGTTTCTGTACAGTAGCGTGTGCATGCAGGAACTTTCCAGCTGGAGAGTTGACTTCATACAGTCTACTCGGGAACTGGTAGAGACCTGTTACCTCAGTTGTTCCTTCCACTCCGAAACGTTGAGTTGTATCCCACGCTGGATCCCAATCTGGAACTTTGTGATCTTAATGTCTTGTAAATGTGTAACAGATTCCTATCTGGTTCTGGATGGTAAGTCAGATCTCTACTTGAAATCGAAATTATGTCCGATGTCTATACAAAACCCACGCCTCATTTGTAGCCATGGGTTTGGCACGTCACGTGCATGTTTAAAGTAGGGTCGCATTCACTGCACCCTCGGCACGACCGCAATCCTATTTGACGTATTAACCTTATATATATCCTGTACTCCCACCTCTTAGGAAGGGACGATAGCCTATCGTGTGATTCTTTGAAATAATGGGTGTATCCTGCTTTATTTTAGTACCCACACACTATGTGATTTATGAACAAAGTATGACTTTTTTCCCTTATCGTTTGTGCATGTCGGACGGGATCGGATTGGGGCTCGGTCTCGATATCCCAACGGGCAAGGTAAGCCCAACCCATGAGAAGCTTAGACGCGATTAACGATGAAGCTGAACCTGTCTACAAAATTCGAAACTGCCATTCGAGTACGGGGCGAAGCGAGCGACCCTACAGCGCCTTTCCCCCATATTCCAACTTAACATGACAAGGTAACGTGTAATTTCATTTGAGTTTAACTTATGACACTCTCTTTTTGATTCAGAATAGGAACACGAGCATTCTCACAGGTACGCGAACAAGGAGCGAACGCCACCAAACACACCAGGAAAGTATTCCGTACCAAACCATCTCGCAAGTAACGACCGATTAAAGCATCTAAGAGCTCAGCATAACATCAAGCTTCAGTATTCGCCTTTCGACTAAAGTTAACAGAAATAATGTTATGAACACAATAAAAAGAATGCATAAGGGGATAATAAAAATAGAATATTTCAGTTTTACTATCTGATAATTTACTAACACCACCACAGATAACAGTTTACCATAAATTGCAAGAAAATACACTTAACTCTCTGAATGGAATTACAGAGGAATTAAGCACAGTAATAGAAAGTTGATAAACCAACTGAGACGACGAACAGGAAAATAGTGTACTTACCTTAGGAGAAGCGTCATGTTGGAATCCCTATTTGAATAATTCCATAGCGACCCAGGCAATTATCCTACCGTCTTCTCTGCTTTGCTAGGTTTAGAGGATACCAAAAAAGAAAAACTCGATTTACAATCAAATACATAGATATAACAATAAAATATGCCAAAGAAATCAAAGCTAATGCTTGGATTGTGCCGGTTAGTTCTCATCACTGACTGTTACAATATCATCTGTCTCTGCATGGTTTTGCCTGTTAAGGTCTTCGTAACATGAGATCAATCAAATTTTATCCTTGTATTCTTCACGCACTGCTTTTAAGCTTCAGCTTTTCGTTGGTGCTAACGAGACTGAACTTGAAAGGAACATTTAAAGTTGCCTTCATTTGATGGATTAACTCACATATGGCTTCTGCAAGACTTAAAACTTTCCTCTTTTCTCGGCAACAACAACATATCCACTAAAATCTCACTAGTGGAATCAGGGGAGAGTAGAGTGTACGCAAACCTTACCCCTACCCCGAAAAGGGTAGAGAAGCTATTTCCAGGAGACTCTCGGCTCAACAGAAGAGGCAATAATATCAGAAAAGAAACAAGAGAAAAGACATGTAACAACAAAAGATACCAGAAAATAAATAACCACAACAAATAAGTGAAAGGACAATTACACAAAACTATGCAAAACAACAATGTGAATACAACAAAGACCGCTAACAAACCTAAACGAAACTCTATCAGACTACCCGGTACAAAGAGGGAAGAACTCTTGACTACCCCCTAGCCTACCACCCTAATGCTCGAGCTACACATGTTCCTATCAAGAGCCACATCCTCGGAAATCTGAAGTCGCGCCATGTCCTGCCTGATCACCTCGCCCCAATACTTACCTGCCAAAGTCAACCGCTCACACCTCCTAACCGGTGCATCTAGGCTTCTCCTCCGCACGTGTCCGAACCATCTAAGCCGCGCTTCCCGCATCTTGTCGTCCACCGGAGCCACGCCTACCCTCTCCCGAATATCTTCATTCCGAATCTTATCTAGCCTAGTCTGCCCACACATCCATCTCATAATTTTTGATAAATATGTTTCACGTTAAAAGTAGGAGATTCGTCACAACTATAACTATCATTTGAACGTTGTACTGCTGATTAAAGTAGGTGGCTGATCAAAGTTTTTCACATTCAGAAGCTCTGTCGTTTTTAATTTGAAAAATTTTATTATAAAAAAAAACTGATTTTCAGTTCACACATGAAGAGGGGCAGAAAAATTGTTTTCGGCTATATGGTACAGTATAGTTGGCTCTAAAATCTAATGACGTAGAGTGAAACTTCCATTTTATTGATCTGCTTCATTCCAGTAGCATTTCTCTTGATTAAATTTTCGTTTTTGGACCTTCTTATGCAAAATCTTTTTGAACCATCTATAAAAATTGCAGTGTGATAACTTCATACTCTATAGTCACTTATCTAAGAAGAAATAGTGCTGAAATTGATCAAAAGAAATATTGTCTTGCTTCTTTGTTTACAGGCCTAATTTTGCTCTATTTGTTCTTTATTTTAAGCCTTTTATTTAACAATGATCAGATAATGCACTAGAATTCACCACTGATACGCTAGGAGTATGATTATATATGCCTTCACAGTAAACCATATACGAGTGACTAAAGATAGAACTTTCACAATATGAATTTAAAACCTCCTCAATCATTAGTCATTTCACACATTAGATTACTATCTCTTCATTCAAAGAGAAAAGCTTTTGCTACCCTAGACTTGGTTGATTCTATTCCTTCACACCATATGTGGAACATATTATTGAGAAAAGAGCTGATCTCTAGACTTGTAACTATAAATTTATGGCGACGAAATAAACAAATTAAAGCACTAAAGCAAGCACATGACACCCAACACTGGTTATTTCAAGAAACTACATGCAGAGAGCTACCATCATAACAATAAATATAAATACATGAAAAATGTGTTGAGGGATCGAAAGGTACCATGATAAATAGTTACAATCTTTGCTATGTGAACTGATGAAGGAGAAGCTTCAAGTCTTCCATGATCATGGAAAGTCCATTTTCTGGGTTCCCTTCCGACATTTTTATTTACACACTAAGAAAAACAAAATCACGTTGTAAATAATCGACATGGGAGCACGTCTATAATACATACTCCCTCTGTTTTAATTTATGTGAAGTTTAAGAAAAGAGAGAAGACTTTTGAACTTGTGGTGTAAAATGAGACACATATATTTTGTGTGGCTATAAATCATTGCATAAAGGTAAATTATTTCCAAATAGGGAAAAAGGTCATTCTTTTTTGCGCGGACTAAAAAAGAAATAGGCTCACATAAATTAAAACGGAGGAAATACTTTTTATATATTCAAAGATCATATATTTTTAAATGCAGTTATACTTACCACTTATAACACTACAAGAAATTTGATTTTTAACGACCACTTATTAACGTGGGGAGATAAATACGTCGTTGTAAGTGTACTTATAGCAACCAAATTTTTTTCCGGTCGTTGAAACTAATTATTAGCTCAATATTAACAAAGGGATAGTATTCTCGTCGTTAAACAATTAATTAATAAAAAGTGGCGCTAACTTTTCCCTTTTTTTCCCAACCCACACCTGGATCTGCCAACCTCCCCAAAAAAACCCTAAGACTTCTCCAACACCTCTATTGTGAACATTATTTTCGAGAAACTGCTGGTCTTCAAACGTCAATATCATCGTATGCTGGTCACCTCCACTGACAACAACGGCTCATCTTCAAGTTTCTTCTCATCAAGGTAAGGTTGAAATTGTACCCTTTTTATGTTAATTTTCGTTTAGATTAAACTCAGCTCTAAACCATGGCTGTTCAATCAATTATTATGTTCTGAACAGAAAAAGTGAGTGAAAAGCTAGGGTTTTAAGTGCAAAATTTATTCTCTACTCTTGAGTTTTCTTCTCCGATTTTCTGCTCGCATTTCAAATTTCAGAAAAAAATACAAAAAGAGATGTAAAGATATTAAGTTTTCTTCTCTGATTTTCGGCTATTACTCCTCTGATTTTGGAGTTAAGTTTCTTTTATATACATAGATATAAAACAAAAAAAATATTTTAATTTCTGCCCTGTTGTTCTTCATTCATGGATCTTGCTTGAGCTTGGTTGGTATTTTGCGGGTTCGGACCTGATTGTTCAAGGACGAAGTTCACGGTTCCAAGTTCAGTTAGTCTCTTTTTTCCTCGCTTGAATTTTGAAGTCAAAATATGTGTAGGTGCCGATTCTTCAATTGCCACTAAGGAAAATTTTGGCTTAACAGGTCTATTTGTATCACTCCCTTTCTATTTTAACTAACTTATTATGAATCGAACTTCAAAATGAGCCGATTAAGGATAAGCCGGTTTGGGGTATAAATTTTTTAGTAGATAATTGATTTCTTTATGAATCCATCCATTTAAAGTTAAGTAAAGCTTTCTTGCTGACTCTATGGATTTGTTTAGAGTTTCCCTTTAAGAGAATATCTTGATAACGATTTAGTTGGAAAGTCTTTTTTCACTAAAACAGTATGTTGTTGGATTTCACTTTTGATTAGAGCCGTATTGGGTACTTCTGGTTTGGTACTGAATTAACATTTTGTTACCTAGTTCAAGGAGGTGAATTTCTGTGGATTAACTGCTGGTTCTAATTCCTAACAATTCAATGATAGTTGACGCTACTCTGTAGCTATGAACATTAATATAATATATTTGTAGTAGGTGCCAGTTATCAAAGGCAAAAAGCACAAAAAAGCTCCAAGGTCCGTTGGGGCTTCAACGCAAAGCGCAAATAAAGCGTGGACTTTAATGAAAAAAGGTGCAACTGGAGAAAAAGTAAAAAATGTGTATATGTAGTCCAAGACTAATAATTATACGTATGAATAACAAATATATGGATAATGCAATTGAAAAAAAATTAAGATAAAGTGAAATATCAAATGTTTGATGTCGTAGTTTCAGGATTACACTCATTGGTAAGGAAAAGTATGCCTTAGAGCCTTGATGCGACACTAAAGCGCCCCCAAAGCGAGGCGAAGCGCTCAACATGTTTTGAGCCTCGCTTCAGGGCTTAAGCCGCGCCTTTGACAACACTGGTAGGTGCTAGTTTAAATAGTATTCTCTGTTTGCTAAATCCAAATGCTAGTGTAGTAACCTGTGAGCAACTTAACTGGGTCAAGTATTTCCTTACCCTCCTTTCTAGATTTCTTCCACCTATAAATTTGGAGTTGTGCAATCTTTGTGAGCTTATCATGCTTTAGTCTCTTCATTCACTGTACTCATGTGTTTCATGTCACTTAAATATCTTCATATGCCCCTACCTAAGGATTTTATGTCCTTTATGCTGGTAGTGTTAATAGCATAAAATAAGAACTTGTAAAAATTGATTGTGGTATTGGTATTCTTTTACTGTTTCAGTGATTTCTCTGTTTGAAGATATTGATTTTTTTTTTCCAAAAGTTAGTGTCTCAAGTATTCTAGATTTTCTTCTTAGAATTACATGTTTGTCAAATATACAGAGGCTTCCTTTTTATGATTTAGGTTAACGAGAGTCCATATCAGTTATGTTAAGTATACGACATAAATAACTGTACCAATTGTTAATATTAGTTATGTTATATATTTTGTTTGAATGTGATATATTTCTTGCAATTTATTGTGGTTTTGAATGAGGCAGTTTTGATGTGCTGCGTGACTCGCTGGGCTTGGTGCGAACTGAGTTTCCACACACTGTATATTGTGTGGCAAGAACACAAGTAAGCTCTTTTTTATTGCTTGAGTTGTTGTTGGATAGAAATATCATGAATGCTGATTATTTTTAAGTCAAGAGCTGCTTCCATTTAGCTTTTCTTATAATATGAGAAGGAGGATCAGTTCTGTACGTTGTAGCAACCCTTTTTCTATAAGCAAAAGTAATTACTAGTAATTTTTTGTACATTGCAGAAATTCCTTTCGTTTTAATTACTGTCTCCCACTCATTTTTTAGATTTTTTGTAACTAAGTTGTAGTTAGTTATTCCCACATATTTGCTTACTAATGTCAGCCTTATAAAGAAAAATTAATTGTTAACTAATATTACTGTTTCTCCGTGTATAGTATAGAATTCCTCTTTCAATTAGTAGGAAAAATGAAAGTGAAAACCCAAAATTTGCTCTCGCCATTTGAGTTAGAGTAGATTAAAGCTCTTGAAACATGCTTTTCTCATTTTAACAGGCAGAGAAAAGTACTTGGAACTTGATTGGAATTTTTAAGTTATCTAATATATCTGGAAAAAGGCGGGACTTGGTGCCAGACAAGAAATGTGATGAAACTGATATGGCTTCCTTTTCTTCTTCACTTATCAAGAGTACTAATGTCTGCAAAATAATGTTTGATGAACTGAGAGTTCTTCTAGAGGTAATTTAGTATGTTAAGTGTATTGCTCGTTGAAGTTTCTTTAAGTTTGTACTTAAGACCAAGTTTGTGGTTATTTTGATCCGGTATGTGTGTGCACTTAAGATCTTGTTATTTCTCTGTATGAATAAATGTCTCCCCCTCACATTTCATCAGGTCCTAGTTTTCTGATTTATCTAACTTCTAATCTCACCATTGCATATGCGTGGTCATTAAGTGGCGATAAGCAGGATTATCAATAAACAGAAGTCATAATAAATAGAAAGCTACTATCCATGATCAAAGTTAAACTAGTCCTTCTTAGTTCTGATTCTGAAGTTTGGATGTGTATCTTGATCATTCTTCAATATGGCTTTGGCTTGCCTTGGCAACGAAATAACCTCAGTGAAGAATATCTCTTGTTTCTCCTTTACTCCAATATTAGCTAGAGCATCTACTACACAATTGTCTTCCCTGTAGCAAAATCTTATATGAAATTTGCATCTGGTAAGCAATTGAGTTGTCTGCTCTCTGACTGGCCACAAAACCTTGGTGTCTCCTTTAATAAAATTCACTAGAATCAGTCTCTATTATCACATTCATCATCCGGTTCATCGTTGGTGACACACCATTGCAATACTTTTAGCATAGCTGGTTAAATTTTTATTTTTCATCTCTTTTGATACTCACAGGTGGTTAAAGTTTTATTTTCTAGTTTACTAGATAAGTTCCATGTTTTTTGATACTTTTGAATATTGTAGGACAAATTTGACAACGATGATATAAATGATCAACGAGATCATGTTTTGCAACATATGAGAAAATTATGGAACAATTGGAGAGGATTGTTGTGCATAGCAATTTTTTAATTGAAATTTTTTAGGTAAGATATCGTAGCTATTTGTTAACATCTTGTAATATCAAGTGGATGACCATAATTTTTCAATGTATTCTCAATTTAGGAAAAAAGTGCAAGAAACTCGGTCAATAGGTCTAAATTGAGTATGCCTCATCCTACGGATAGGAAGCCAATTAGAGAGATCATTTATGAATTGGTGAGTAATTTACCAGATGTGGAAACTATCTTTTTTGGGACTCGTAAGAAGGACAACAAGCTTGTTGAACCTGAAACCAATGAAAAATTTGTATATTTATTGATAAATTTTATTTTACATCATTTTTTTACTTTGTTGCAATATTTAATTAAATTATCTTTCATTTTATAGGTTAAAATCCAAGTAGTGGTGCAATCTGAATCATCTCTTACAAACATTCAGGTTGTAGAGAGGTGCTTTGGACCTCATGCAAGAGTTATGTAGTTGGATTTGGTGTTGGGATAACCGCTAAGGAGTTGAAAGGTGGTAACTCCTCGAAAACTGCATTACTAGAGATGTCGAATGCTACTGAAAATGAAAACGAATAACTAAAAGGACGCTTGGAAGGGCTAGAGAGTAAATATGATGTGTTAGAGAGTAAATATGCACAGCTTGCAAGTGTGACGACCCGGCCAGTCGTCTCATGAGTTACCGCTCTGTTTCCCCCATTTCTGCTTCTTTATGTATTGTCTAGCCGTGTTTTGAGGTATCGGGTTGATCGTATTGAATCTGGATAGGTTTTGGTGAAGTTTGAGACATTTAGTCTCTTTTAAGAATGCTTAAGTTGGAAAAGTCAACCGGATGTTGACTTATGTGTTAGAGGGCTCGGATGTGAGTTTCGATGGTTCGGTTAGCTTCGGGAGGTGATTTGTGACTTAGGAGCGTGATCGGAATGAGTTTTGGAGTAGCTTTAGGCTTGAATTGGCGAAGTTGATATTTTGGCGATTTCCGGTTGGTAGGCGAGATTTTGATATAGGAGTCGGAATGGAATTCCGAGAGTTGCAGTAGTTCCATTGTGTCATTTGGGATGTGTATGCAAAATTTCATGTCATTCGGACGTGGTCTGGTTGAGTTTTTGATCAAAAGCGGAATTCGGAAGATTTTTAGAAACTTAGGCTTGAATCCGACGTGTTTTGGTTGATTTGATGTTGTTTGAATTGTTTTGATGATTGGAGCAAGTTTGAATAAGGTATTAGGATATGTTGGTGCCTTTGGTTGAGGTCCCGGGGGCCTCGGGTGAGTTTCAGGTGGTCAATCGGATCATTTTGAAGTTGGAAAAATTGCAGAAGTTGCAGGTTCAGCTGTTGCAGGTTTTTACTCTTCGCGTTCGCGAAAAGTCAGTGGAGGTCAGTGGAAGTTTTTCGCGTTCGCGGTGAGGCTCCGCGTTTGCGAAGGGCTGGATGCTCGTGCATCGCGTTCGCGAGATGGAAGCCGCGTTCGCGTAGGGTCTTTCTGGTCAGCTGGTCTGAGGTCGTGTTTGTTCTCCGCGCTCGCGAGAGAGGGTGTGCGATTGCGAAGGGTAAGGCTGAGGAACCGCCGCGTTCGCGATGGTCGTGTCGCGTTTGCATAGAGGAAAAATTGGTCAAAGTAAGTTTGTGCTTCGCGAACGCGAGGGTTTGACCGCGTTCGCGAAGAAGGAAAATATGCCTGGGCAGAATGTTTTTAAGCTCGTCTTGTCCGCGATTTTGAGGCTTATTTCCTCCATAGCTGATCGTTTTTGGAGATTTTTGAAGGAGATTGAAGAGGAATTCAAGGGGGAAACGTTTGGAGGTAAGATTATTGGTCTAGAACTCGATTATTATGTGAATTCCACCTAGAAAATCATGAAAACTAAGCCTAAAATTGAAGAACTAGGGCTTGAAATTGGAGACCAAACATTTGGGATTTGAAGGGTCATTTGTGGATGGATTTTTATGTTCTTGGTATGTATGAACTCGTGGGGAGATAAGGAATCCGTTCGTGTAGAAATTTCTGAATTTCGAGACGTGGGCCCGAGGGTCGGGTTTTGGTAATTTCGAGATTTGTGCCCTTTATTGATTGTTTTCGCTTGGGCTTCGTTCCCTTAGCATATTTTGACGTCCTCGTTCTGATTTTGGATAGATTCGACGCGCGTGGAGGGCGATTCGAGGGCAAAGGCGTCGCGAGCTAGAGATTTAGCCGGTTCGAGGTGAGTAACGATTGTAAATGATGTTCTGAGGGTTTGAAACCCCGGATTGCACATCGTAGTGCTATGTTGAGGTGAGACACACGCTTATTGACGAGCGTGGGGTCGTACACTATTGGGGATTGCGACTTGGTCCGTCCCGGTTGATGATTTTACGGCATATTTGACTGAAACTTATTTGCTATCATTATGATTTGGGCTGAATGTCATATTTGGGCTTCGTGCCAACTATTTGAACCCTTCGGGTCTTTTTATTGATATTTCCTCACTATTTTAACTTACTACTTGAACTCCGTCATGTTATTTTCCACTGTTTTACTACTCAGCCATCTTTACTCGGTTTTGAAACTTAAATGATATTTTAAATGATGTTTGGGCTGAGAAACACTGTTTTACTGTTGCCCGAGGGGCTTGTTGAGGATTTTTGACTGAGTAAGGCCGAGGGCCTATGTTATGAGGAAACACTGATACTGATTGGAGGCTGAGGCCCTGAGATATGTACGCCACGAGGTGGCTTGATTGATATGAGGCCGAGGGCCTAGATTTGATGCCACGAGATGGCTTGTTATTGCGCTTGGGCCGTAAGGGGCCCCTTCAGGAGTCTGCACACCCCCAGTGAGCGCGGGTACCCATTGTGTTGTGAGAGTGAGCCCGAGGGGTTGTTATTGTTATGAGATGTTGCCCGAGGGACAGATGTGGTGATACTATGCCCGAGGGACGAACTTCTATTTGATTACTTTACCTTAATTACCTGTTAATTACTTGTTTACTTGTTGTAAGAGGATTTTACTTGATTTTTCACAAGTTCACTATTTTTAAATGATTTTTACTGCTTCATTATAGAATGCCTTGTGCATTGCGTGTTTTCTTACTTTCAGTCGTTATTTACGCATCTGGTCCTACTCCCGAGTTCTAATTCCTCCAGATTCAGGCAGGCTTTCGGAGATTACGAGGTAGCTGTTGACGTCCGCAACCCCGTGTCTCTACTCCTTTATCGTTTCTATTTCCTTTCAGACATTGTACTAGTTATGAATTTAGAAGAATTTTATTATGATTTATAGATGCTCATGACTAGTGACACCCTGGTTAGGGTTGTGTATGGGTGTTCTTCCCCGTGTTTTATGTTATTGTTGGCTATTTCGGATTTATTCTTATCATGTTTAAACTGTTCTTAAATGCTTATCTGTTAATAATTGGAAAATGAGAAGTGTCGGCTGGCCTTGTCTTTGCGAGAGGCGCCATCACGATCGGGTTCGGGGTTAGGGTCGTGAAAGCAAGTATTGTATTTGATCAGACTTCATCACCATCTTCAAGTGAGTAATATATTGAAGCATTTAACAGGTTAGTTGATTGAAATCCTATTGTATTTTGTGATAAAATTATTGCAATGTTCATGTGAATTTTTTTTTCTTATGTTATTAAGGTTTATGAATAAACAAATTTATGGTCATTGAAACAAGTGAATTTAAGTAAGTCACGTACAATTACATAACTTTTCCCTCAAACTTCCATAACAATCTATTTCCCATTTAGTACTTTATTTTTTATCCTTTGTTTAGTGGTAAACCCATGTTATAAAAATCTTAGAATCGCTTTCGCCTCTAGTCGAGGTGCACGCTAGCTTAACCACGCATGCACTATATTTTAAAGAAATGTCAGTTTCAGCCAGCTTTATTACATGACTTTGATATAGTTCTAAAGCTATAAACTGCTGCGTAAAGTGGTATAAACCTTGCCATGTTTTCATGTCCAAAGTCTCTGTGCCTTGATGTGGTACTATGAAAATGTACGGACCAACATACGTTGGGAGATGAAGTGGTACAGTTGCAGTCAAGTTCCAATTATACAAAAATGACCAGAACAGAAACTCTTGATTGTCTAATCTTTCTTTTTCGTTTTTTCTCTGCATCATAAATTTCATGCATCCTTTATTCTTCTGGAAATTCGTTCATAAAGTAGCCAAAATAAGAATAACTTTTTGAAAATCCTAGCTTTAATTAGGACTTGAAAATGACAGACGAAAATAAGGGATCTTGGGTATGATGATGAAAATGCCGATAGGAAGTGTATATGATTGTCACCAAGTACTTGTGGAGTTCCAATCACACTTGTCAATATCGTACTTTAGTCATAGCTTTATTATATCTTTTGATGGAAAAGCTTTAGTGTCTACATTTTTTCAAGTGGATGATTCCTTTACATTAGTTGCTCACATTATGTAAAGTGTAGTTCCAAGAACTGAAATAAAAAAAGAACAGAATCATCACTAAAGTAATTTAGGAAATTACTAAGTAGCAAAAGGAACAACATGGTTGTACCTCGTACACTATCTTTGAAGAAGTATAGATTAGTCATCTGGTTACTACCTTCTGCAAGAAAACATAAAAACAATTTTATATATAATAGAAATTCATCAATTCAGCATCATTGGCATATGGAAAAGATCATTCCACTAATAGTGATGGAGTTACATACAACTGTAGAATATGACTTATGAAATCTAAATGTGTTGATATTGTTGTTGCCGCATCAAAAATAGCTTTTTTCATGTGCCCATTAAAAATTTTAATTAGGAAAACTAACTTATTTTTTGTATCTCAATCGCCTGTCCTCGTGATCTGTAGAAATGTAAGAAGCTCGATACAGGATTTGCTTCCCAAAAAGTGTCGTCGTGCAGGTTTTGATGTAATAGGATTTAGTGATGTCAAATTATATGTCATTAGTCAGTCTTATGATCATTGTACACAAACAGAGAAAATTTAAGCGTTGTTTTTCTGCTACAATACTGTCCCCACTACTATGTCATCTAATCTTTGTATTATTTCAATTTCTTGTTTATGGCCATCAATGAAGCTTTTAATGGAATTATTAAATTGTCATGCATTTGTTATGTTAACAGATCTGATTTTTCTTTATTAACTGGGATACATTTGCTCTTTCTTTTTTAGTTATTCATTCTTTGTTACTATACTAGCATACATTTGTTATGTTAACAGACCAAATATTTGAAGTCCGGAGAACCTATCCTTGAAGAGAGTGTCAGCAAGTTGAAGTACAAGAGGTTTATATTTTGTTAGGGATGATTTAAAGACATTGTACATATGCTGCAATTTTATGTTTCTCTTTTAGGAAGTATAAAAAATAATGTCATACGATTTAGATTGGTTTCTGGTAAATATGATACTTTAGTCCTTTGTATTAACAAAGATATCAAGTTTTTGGTTTATTTTCGAGTGTTGGGTGTGTATGAAAGCATATAGATAATTATTTCTATTTATCAAATTTAAGTTTTCGTAATTATATTTACTATAATTTTACATTAGATAAGGAAATTGTGGTCAATGAAACTCTTTAACTATAAGTTTCTCAAACATATAAATGGGCATTAATGAAGGGATATTTGGTTCTTAAAAGTAGTTATATATCTAACGAAGGGAATATCAGTCGCTAAAGCACTTGTAATGATTGAATAAGTTGTTGTCATTAAAGACTTTTAACGACTGGATAACAAATTAGCGAAGGAAAAATCGTGTCGCTAAAGGGATGTATAACGATCGGAAATTATGTCATCGCTAAGGATCTTTAACGACCGGACTGTAATCCGGTCGTTAACTTTTAACGTCGGAGCTTTTAACGATCGGTGACGGCCGGATTTTTTCTGGTCGTTAACAACTTATAACAACCGGATTTAGATTTTTAACGACCAAATTTTCCCTCGCTAAAGGCCTATTTTCTTGTAGTGTTCACTGTATTTTCTACTAATAAATAAAGGCAGAATAGACTGGTAGACACTTATACTTGTTCGCGTTTGTCATCCTGGTCCCCATACTTAACAAAGTTTCATCTAGACACTTATAATTATTTAAAGTCAGTATTTTAAACCCTTCTTACCGTTGACCAAGTCTATGTGGCAACTTAACGGCTGAATTTGACCAAATACGTGTATTGCACGCGTATAAGGAGCGTGAACATATATATTTAAACCAAAAATGATTAAAATAAGGAAAAAAAAAGAAAATGCAAGCATAAATTAAAAGTGAAAGAAGAGTGCTTCTTCTCTTTCACGTTCTGCCCCCCCCCCCCCCCTTCTTCTTTATCTTCATGTTATCCCTCCTCCCCCATTTTAACCCAAAAATCATTTGCAACATAGCCCTCCTCCGCCACCTCTTCATCAATCAATAACATCCCTAGACATCCGAAATCATCGCTAGATTAGCAGCATTTTTTGGGAAAATTTCTTTCCACATCCCATTCCCAACTTTTTAAGATGAGCTTTTGCAAAGAAATAAATAAAATAGTGGAAGAAGATCGGTGATGGAATATGTTTACGACAAGTTTATCTGTAGCGAAATTTCAAAAGTTTTGGGTGAAGTTTTGGGTGAAGTTTTTGGTGATGATAGTCTTTTGGTTGGTTATTTCTAATGGCATGTGCTTTTGGTCGTTAGGCAATTTTACGATTTGGGGCTAAATACAAAAAATTCTATGAGTTTATTCTCTTGATTATTTGTAACCTAACATTATTTTGAAGGTGTTGGTAAAGGTAAAGGAAATGGTGGGGAATAAAGAAGGTGGCAGAGGAGATGGTGGAATGATTTTATTTTTTTAAATATGAGAAATAAATTAATGATGATGTGTCAAAAAAATCTGACGTGGACACTGATGTGTCATTCATGTCAGGAATTTGAAGAACACGCGAGATGAGAGGGGTTTAAAATACTGATTTTGAATAACTATAAGTGTCTGGATGAAACTTCATTGAGTACAGGGACCGGGATGACAAACGCGAATAAGTACAAGTGTCTATCAGGATATTCTGCCAATAAATAAAATATTGAGTATAAGTATGGTCCCACGTTGAGAATTGCACGTGCAAAGGCTGTGACACTGAAAGTTAATGGAGCCCACGTAAATACTATGCATATCTTAGAGGAATATCTTGCAGACAAGTGTTAATGGGTCTCACTTTTCCAATAAGCTGAAATGACTGATGAGACAATAATAACCCTCTAAAAGCAGGCAAGCATATTCACATGAAAGGATATTTTAGAGAATAAACGGAAGTACCATGTCTTTTGGCCATTTCAGATTGACCGGAAGCTCCTCCATTCCCTCTTATTAATAGTAAGTAAAGTAAAGTAAAATAGTATTGTGGACAATATTACGTTTAGAAGTGGGTGGGCAATAAACTTTACTAACCATGGCCCACCATATGCAAATAATTTCCTTACATATCTGTAATAGTGACTCTACATATAGTAATTGTGTCACGACCCAATTTAGGATAGTGACCGGCACTTAGGAGCAAGTGCCCCCAAGTAAGCCTCATCGGTATTTCACAAAAAATCGGCCAGAATTTCCCCTGTTTTTGGACCATCCCAAAATTTTTCAAGTCTCAAATTCAGCAACCAAACATCCTAATAGCAATTCAAATGACAATGACTTTATCCATTAACCAAAATTAGTATCTACCTTTAACAGTCCACCCACTAACAACTAGGAATACCACTTCTCCAAATTTTTATAAGAATGAGTTTTACTCAACATAAGTTTATAATAACGAAGACTACTCAAGACACTAAAAGAATGAACACGGAGCGGACTCTAAGAGTTCAAAGAAAGACCATAACAATAAATAAAATCTTCACCAACGCGGACAAGTGCAAGGCTCACCATGAACTATCAACCTATGCGCTCTAATTAATGAAATCCTCGCCTGCGTCAACTGCTGTCTCTGTAAAAGAAATTAGCGGGGAATGAGTCGCTAGCTCAGTGAGTAATAACACTTAACCACAACCGTTTTTATTTGGGGACAAGTCAGAAAATATGCTAGTATATTAAACAGAAATTATCATAAAAATGCCCTTTTCAGAAACTACAAATAAATAATTTTCAGTCTCATCATGTTTTTCTTGTAGTATAATACGATTGACAATTCTGTAATAAGCTCGATAACCATTGTATAATATCAATATTCATATTTTTGGAGGTTCCAATGAACGGATCATGTAATCGGTATAACTGTGGACTTCTTCACAAGAAGTCAAATATAACGGCAGTCCCCACTCAAGGGAAATCGGTAACAGTATGCTAGTTCTACATTCCCACTAGTGAGGGCTATAACTGTACTCTGTAATCAGTAAATACAAGGTGCACCAGGTCTACCGAACCCGCCGTTAGCTACAGGATCCTTCAATGTTTACTCCCGTTTATACTTGTCTCTGTAATCCGTATATACTCGTAGAAAATATTTTAAAACAATATAGGGCATTTCGGTTCTTATCAAATCATATAATTTCTTTTCGATAACAGTAAATTCAAGTTGCAGTACAATAGATCTAGTGACAACGAAAATATTTAAAACCACGGTATTCATCTCAAATAACTATTTCGGTATCATATC